AGATTTTATTTATTTATTTATTATGTGTACAGTCTTCTGCCTGCATGCCAGCAGAGGGCACCAGATCTCATTCAAGGTGGTTGTGAGCCACCATGTGGTTGCTGGGAATTGAACTCAGAACCTCTGGAAGAACAGTCAGTGCTCTTAACCACTGAGCCATCTCTCCAGCCCCCATGGCTTGTTTTTTTAAACTACATTTTAATTTTATTTTGTATGTGCATGGAGGTTTTACTTGCCGTTTACTGTGAGAGCTGCAGGCAGTTAATGAATGCTTAGAGAGGGAGAATCAGTCTTCTCCAGGGACAAGTCCCTGATAGGTTATCCCATTCCAAGTGCTTAGCCCTAAACACTTATATAACAGCAACACTAAATAGACTCAGCAGGTTATATTTATATGTACATTGCTGAGTGTTTGTGTGTGTGTGTGTGTGTGTGTGTGTGTGTGTGTGTGTGTAATCATAAAGATGAAATCATGAGGAGAGGGAAGGACATGAAAGGAGTGGAGGGAGAGAGAGAGAGAGGAAATTGTATAAATACAGTCCTCATGCATGACTTTTTAAAAAGAGCTGGGCATAGTAGCATATGACTTTAATTCCAACAGTTGGGAGGCAGACAGGTAGATCTCTGAGTTCAAGGCCAGTCTGGTCTACATAGTAAGACCCTTACTCAAAAGTAAATAAATAATAGTAAAAAATGCCAATCTGACAATTATAGTTTATATACTAGAACAAATAAAAGTCTGGGATCTATAACTAGCAAATTTACTGTAGAAACATACATAGATTATTTCTTGTCAAATAGTCTAACTTCAGGCAATTTATAAAGGAAACAACTTGGAAACAGTTGTCTCCTTCCTCCATAAGGATCCTGGAGATTAAACTCCAGTCATTAGGATTGATGCTTTTAACCTTCTGAGCCATCTCATAGGTTCTGAAAGTCATGCCTTTTGAATTAGAATCCAAGAGACCTGGAGGGTTCAGCCATGGAAGTCAGAAAACCGCTATAAATGGGGTGGAGGAGTCTACATAGGAAGTGAAAAGGCCCAGAGAGTCTGAACAGATTTTGGACTGTAACCAAAGAAGAAATAGGTAGAAAAGGAAAATTATACTGATTGAGTCAGAACAACTGGCAAACTTAGTAGTACTGCATAATGGAAGGGGGCTGTAAGCAGCTTTTGGGGAGTCGGGCTTCTGGGAGATAAGTACATGATCTCATTCTCATCGCCACAGCGTACCTTCGGATGAACCATCTTTTTTTTTTCTTCTGGCCAGGTGATTGACAGACCAGGCACACAAGTGGAGGTTAGAAGACAACTTGGGGAGCCAGTTCTCTCCTTCCACTACATGGACTTCAGGGATTGGATTTAAGTTTTCAGGATTGGCTTCAAGTGCCATTACTGTCTGAGCCATTTTACTAGCCATGGATTAATTCTTAGAGAGAATAGTGTATAATTTTCTAATCTTTGGAGCACATCAGAATGTCATGTCTCCACCTAGGACCAGAGATGTAATTCAGGTTCTATCATTTTGACCCAGAGAAAGCAGCTTTCCCTTAGTGGGCCTCAACATAGTCTTCACCATTTTCATATGTGGCAGTGTGGTCTTTCCTGTTAAGTAGCTAGTGAGGAATTAACAGGTTTGGGGGCAGTTGAGGATAGATCCTTCCATCATACCAGCGTTGGACCCCACCTCCTGTTTCTTCGGTAATCACTAGAGAAGGGTACCCACATGGTGTATTTACATACATGCAGGGAAAACAGCTGTACACATAATAAAGAAAAAAACTATTCCTTGTGATTTAGAGCATCATTATTATTTCTACTTTTTAGAAGTCAGCCATTGTTGTCGTCTTTCCTCCTGTAATCACTTCAGAATAAATGTATAAAGTAACTGGAATCAAGGTAGGTCTAGCCACATGAATTGGTTATTTAAAGAGAGATTCTTGAAGTTTTTTTGGTTTATCGTTATACCTTTGAAGAACATTAATATCTCCTTCACACTGATGTATTCTATTGCCTCACCATGTTCTTTGATCCCTAAATTTCACTAAGATTTTGGCCCATGAATTTCTACTACTTACTAGTGGATAATAATTGGTGTAAGTGCTTTATTCTCTGAGAGCTTAATGTCCATGTCTGATCTCAGATTCTTACCTGTTCTTGAGACTTATTATTTATTACCTAGAGTTAGCATCAAACCCCACAGTTTAAAGGCTTGGTTCCATAAGACTTACCTTATTTCAAATGCCAGTCACAGGTCCCAAGGACTCAGGCCACCTGACTTCTGTCCAACTTAGCCCTAATTAAAGGTTCCCACAACTGTGAACTCAAGGGTAGCCAGGTGAAGAGAGTGAAACATAGAGGATATGAAGGAGAGACAGAGAGCATCCACTCCCTCCCTGCATCTTCATGTACTTAGCAACTCAGGAGCTTTCTGAACCCATGTTAAAGGATTTAAAGGTTTCACTACATAAGCATGATTGGTTAATACATTGTCCATTCAATCTCCAGGCTCTCTTCCAGGGTCAAAACATAGATTCAAGTTCTATCTTTCTTTTTTTCCTTTTCTTTTATTTTTTAGATTTATTTATTTATTATGTAATACAACATTCTGCTTCCATGTATATCTGCACACCAGAAGAGGGCACCAGATCTCATAATGGATGGTTGTGAGCCACTATGTGGTTGTTGGGAATTGAACTCAGGACCTCTGGAAGAGCAGTTGGTGCTCTAAACCACTGAGCCATCTCTCCAGCCCGAGAGTTCTATCTTTCTAATCAAGGCACTGTCTTTCTGGTGACAGCCATTTTCCTAAGATAGCTTAAGCATAAGCTCGTGTATTGGGATTCATTATATTTTGGTTGTGAGCCTAGCCTTTACAGCTGAGCCATCTCCCAGCCCTGGACTCATTAGAAGTAGTTTATGACTCAGGAAGTTTCAAGCGTTTTAGGATCTTGGTTGTAGAAAGCAGAAATATTTTTATTATGCCACATTTGAAAAATATAACTAGTTAATAAAACTATTTAAAAATTCTAAAATAAGAGGACTGCTAAATAAATAAATGATACCATGTAGCTATTAAAATCGTATGTGTCCAGCCAGGTGGTGGTACATGCCTTTAATCGAAGCTCTTGGGAGGCAGAAGCAAGTGGATCTCTGAGTTCAAGGCCAGCCTGGTCTACCAAGGGAGTTTCAAAACAGGCTCCAAAGCTACAGAGAAACCCTGTCTTAAAAAAAAAAAAAATTGTATGTGTCCATGTAGATAGGAGGTTAACTGTTTTGAAATTGATTAGCAAATTCATCTATTTTCAAGTACAAGTATCTATTAGTAGCAACTTTACCAGCAGGAAATAAGAATTCTAAAACTGCCCACATAAGGCATGCAGTCTACAATTTATGGATGAGTTGTATTCCCAAAGTTAGCTGTTTGAGTCTGGACCACATTTTCCCAAACAAACAGTTATAAACACTGAACCCAAGTTATCCTAGCATTGCCTTAATTTCACTTACAGAATTCCTGAGTATATATAGTATCTAAGTTCTATTTAAACATATTTATGAGTAGACAGCATTTTGAGTTACAACTAGGCACTTTAAGTCAGCAGGGAACAGTCTATAAACCTTCCCCTCTCCGCTTTGTGTAGGTTTGCTGATGATCTCCAATGGCATCATTCAGGGTTTAAGAGCATTATTGTTTGTCAGTATAAGTGTCTTCCCGTTGATAACCATTTCGCTAACATTCTTTTCCAATTTAGGTTGAATTCTCTTACCCACCACTGATTCCAGGAGATGGACATGACAGTCACGCTTTACCTGAAGAATGGAAGTATTTGCCTTTCCTCGCCTTACCAGATGGTGCACATAACTATCAGGAAGGTGTGTCATTAAATAGTCACCAATTACTAGGTGCAATTTTGGAATTTTTTTTCCATAACAAGTTTGAATACTTGGGTAAATGGAAACCTTTGAACCTATTATGATTATTTATGAAATGTGTGTGTTTGGTGTTTGGAGGTAAGGTGTGCACTAGAGAAGCTTCAGAGTGCTGGGTCTATTTCTGTGGTCAGTAACCCTTGCTTGGCTCCTCTCCTGTCCAGAGCACTCAGGGATAGCCAGAGCGGGACAGCTGTTGATGGGTTTCTGCCTACAATTATATCATGCTTCAGACTCCACTTGGTGGCAGAAATGAAGTTACCTGCATGGCCTGGAAAGCTCTAGTTTCAGACTTACTAGGCCACCCTCTCATGTCCATCTGAATACAGTTGAGATTGTTTCTTTGACTCTGTAGCCATTGTTGCAACCCTGTACTTTAAAAGTTGCTTGCTTGTATGAGGAGAATGTTTGTGTCCTCAGAGAAGATTGTGGTGACATTTTTACTGAGTCTTCTACCCCCCATATGAAAAGTGCTGTACCAGACCTAATGAAATACTATTTTACTTTGATTAAACGGGATTCAATGTAATTTGACTACTTGCTTTCCTATTGCAATATTTAACTTTTCCTTTATAAATCAAATGTTACCAGGCAGTTCAAAATAAGTTTTCTTATAGGATATATAACCTGAGAAATACATTTCTTCCTAACTTTTGTTATGGATGCTTTCAACCTGGTGAAAGAGTTAAATTAAGAGTAGAGGGAATATATTATAAGTTTTCATTATGTTTATGTGTATGTTCAGTTTTGTCTACTTTTTATTCTAAAGTCATTTGGAATAAAGGCAGATACTTGACTTCTAAATACCTTAGTACCTGTACCCCCTAAGAATATAATCATTCCCTATCATCCAGTTACATTATCCAGCTAAAAGATCTAACAGTGATTCTATAGTGTCATCTCACTTCCAGTCTATGTTCAGATCTCCCCAGTTTTCTCAAAATTTCTTCAATCTACTCAAGATTTCACATGTTGCCATCAGTTTTTATGACTTGACTTTCCTTTAGTCTGGAACTAAATACTGCATATGTTTCCTGTAATTGTACAGTTTATTTGACCTATTATCTCTTAGGTTTTGTGACAGACATGTACTATAAGATTGGGAAAAAGTTTGAGATCCTAGAAATAAGTATCAGATGGTTCCTGGATTTGTCATCATTTGTGTGTTAATGACTGCTTTATAACTTCACATTTGATTGTTTAGTAACGAGTAATTAACATCACTATTTACATTTTTCTATGTATCTCTTAGATACTGTGTTTTTTCACTTGCCACCCAGAAATGGAAATGGAGCCACCGTATATGGTATCTCTTGCTATCGACAAATTGAAGCCAAGGTATGATAATTGATGGTGAGCAACAGCAGGACAAAGCTCCTCCAACCCTTGCTTAGATGTTGGTCATTTGGGGAATCAGTGCAAGTACCTGAAGAGGCCAGAAGAGGCTGTTCAGTCCCATGGAGCTGTTGTGAGCCCCCTGACATGGGTTCTGGGACAGAAGTGGTGCACTCTGTCAGAGTAATGTGCACTCCTAACTGCTGAGCCATTGTTCCAGCTCCAAACAATGGAGGTTTTGAGTAACCTCCTTACTGATTTCTGTGGCTGTAACAATTTGCACCCTTACTAGAAGAAAATGAGGGTTTCTCCTTCTCCACATATGTACCAGAATTTGTTACGATTTGTTTGTGTGGGTTTTTTGTCCTGTGTTATTTTTATGAGCATATTTAAATATACATAATGTGAACTAATGAAAAGATGGCATCAAAACCACATTAAAAATTAAACTCGGTGGAAGGGTTTAAATGTATAGAAATATAAAAAAAGAATATTTTCAGTAGCCTTACTAATGAAAAGAGGAGATACATCCAGAAGTAAATTTGAGCATCAGTTCCTAAGAACACATTTGTGGTATGGTGGCCTTCTTTATCTCTCCTGACTAGTTTTGAAGTCTACTTTCGCAGCTATGAATCTAGCAACATTAGTTTTTTTTGAAGGCTCCCATTTTCTTGGTAGGTTGTTTTCCATCCTTGTGACTCTCAGTTTTTAGATATCTGACAGGTATGTTTTTAGGAGATAGCAAATCTTATTTTTTAATCTAGTCAGTTTTTATGGGTTGGTTCTCTTTGAATGGTTGGTCTGGTATATGACTTGTACATAAAGCAGTTTCCATTGGCCTGTAAATTCCAATACTGAGGATTCCCTTCAGTATTCTACCTAGTGCCTAGCTTCTGGCATTCAATGCAAGGCTAGCAGATACGTTCAGCTAGCATATCTGAGATTCACTGTGAAGTTCTTTAATTTAACTGAATGCAAGATTTTTTTCTATTTAATTATTATGTTCATATTGAAACTGTTTTGTAAATGCAGCTATGAAGTATTTCTAATAAATAACTGTTTGCTTGTCATAGGCATTAAAAGTAAGGCAAGCTGACATCACCAGAGAGACTGTTCAGAAAAGTGTCTGTGTTTTGAGCAAGCTGGTAAGAGATCTTGTAACCTCCTTATGTAGAAACATTCAAGGCAGAACTTTTGTTTTAGAGTAAGAGGTGTATGAGAATAAGGACTTGATACAATTAGTCATTGGCTTACTGATATGCTCCTGTATCCTCTGCTTCCAGGAGTTTGGTCTTTTTTGTATTCTGTTGAAAACTATAAGATGCGCAAGTTGACATTTGACCCAAATGAAGCAGCTGTTATATTTCATTTATCTATTTTTGTTTGTCCCCAAGACTTTGGATAAATGCTATTTTAGTAACTTTAAAAAAATCATAATTGCTTTAATTTTATTTGTAATATAAGAGTTCATGACTATTGTAGTGAAGACTTTTAACTTTAATATAAACTTTAAATTTAATAACATGGTAAAACTGCATGTACTATAACAGTATTTCAGAGCTATGTTTTTCTTCTAGGTGCATTTTTTCAAGTTGACATTAACAGTTACACATTTAAACATGTATTTTACTTTTTAAATTGTACTGTTAGTCTTGGGGGTGAGGTGTATGCCACATTGCACATGTCAAGGCCAGAGGACAACTTTGTGAAGTCACTACTCTCCCTCTGCCTTTATGTAGGTTACAGGAATCAGACTTGGGTCATCAGGGTTGTGGCAGGATTGCAAGTACCTGTATCAGCTGGGCCAATGTCGTTGTCCCTATTTTAACATCATTTTGTTTTTAAGACAGGGTCTCATATGGCCCAGGTTAACCTGGAACTCTTTATCTAAAACCTTGAACTTCTGATTCTTCTGCCTCCACTTCTAGAATTACATGTGTGTATGATCATACTCAGCTTATATTTATTTTTTTAAAGAAAATAAGTGACTGAGATGTATGTATTATGGAAGTCCTAGTTTTGATCTGCATCGCCACAAAGAGTTGGGGAGAAGAAGGGTCAGAGAGAGGAAGGAAGGAAATACAAATTAATGACATTTTTGGTTTTCATAGTCCTCAGTTGAATAATTTACAGTATTTGATGTCTGTTGATAATCAATAAGATAATGACAACATTGTATCAGATGCCTAATTCTACAGTAAAATTTAGTGCCCCCTCCAAAAAAAACCTCCTGTGGGAAATAGTCTAGATCTATATCATGTTAATTATCTGTGTTTTATGATTACTATGGTAGTCATTTTGTAGTCACTCCAAACCAAAATTTAAAATGTTTTATTGGCCCAATTACCAGATATATGTAGGTTTTGTCTGATTGTTTCTTGGGTACTTATCTAATTTCCTTATCCATAGGCAGTTTAAATACTCTTTGTATAGCTAGGAATGGTGGCACACTTTTAATCTCAGTACTTGAAACAGAGGCAAGCAGATCTTTGAGAGTTTAAGGCCTGCCTGGTCTGTATAGTGAGTTCAAGGCAACCAGAATTACATAATGAGACCCTGTCTCAAAACACAGTTTTAGCCAGGTGATGATAGCACACACCTTTAATCCCAGCACTCTGGAGGCAGAGGCAATGGATCTCTATACTCATAGAGATTATGAGGCCAGCCTGGTCCTTAGAGCAAGTTCCAGGACAGCCAGGCTATGTAAAGAAACCCTGTCTCGAAAAACTAGAAAAAAAGTTTTTTATAATGTAAATCCAGGTTTGCATGATAGGATTTATTACTATCTAAAGAGTAAGAGGAGAAAGAAAAGGAAAAGGAGAGAGAAGTGGCTGGAGAGAGACCATGAATAATAATAATTTATAATAATATATACTTTTTTTTTTCTTGGAGGAGAAAACAGTGAGGAGGTCTCACTGTTGTAGGCCTGGCTGGCTTTGAACTCACAGAACTTTACCCACTGCCTCTGCTTCTGCCTCATGAATACTGGGATTAGATGTGCACCAGCATGCCATTGCCATATCACAATAACTCCAATCATAATTTGTAATAATAATACATAAATTATAATAACAATACACAATTTCTAGAGGCTAGCCTGAAAAATAGTATAGAAAGGGTCCATTAACCAAAACATAGGCTATCATATGTGTAAGTAGGTAGATGTTGAAAAGCTCCCCAAATAGTCACCTTCAAAGGGCAATGTGGATAACAGAAACCACCAAGTGTCTGTCTGTGTCAGATGTTAGTTCTTACCAGACATTTCATATTGTATTTTTTGTTTTCCTAACAATCTTGAGATATTTTTGCTGATGTCATTTTATAAGTAAATATATTTTAGAGTAGCAATATCTAATTCTCATAATTTGTCAGACTATTAAGTATAAAAATAGGGTAAAAATCCAGTTTTGTCTGTCTCTAAAAGAGACATAAGGAATGAGAACAACTTATTTAATCAGAAAGGTTCACTTGTTCATAGGGCATTAAAATAGATATGAAAATATAATGGTATTATACTTAATGATAACTCTCATGTATTTACAGGGATGGGGACTGTAGGAGTTCTCTGTCCCACCAGCCAGCTCCCAAATAATGACACGGAGACTTACTATAATAATTGTGAATGCCTGGCCTTTAGCTTAGGCATGTCTCAACTAGTTCTTATAACTTAATTTAGTCCATTTATATTAATCTATGTTCTGCCACAGACATTACCTCTCTTCCACCTTGCACTTCCTGTGTCTTCTGAGTCTGACTGGAGTCTACCTTTTTTCTTCCCAGAGTCCTCTCTGTCCCCAGAAGTCCCCACTAAACTCTCCTGCCTAGTTATTGTCCATTCAGCTCTTTATTAAACTAATCAGATGATTCCTTGGCAAAGACACATCTGCACAGTGTAAACAAATATTCCACAACACAGGGCTTGCATTCTAAAAGGGACACATAAATGAGAAAATATCTTAAGAATGTTGAACAAAAGGGAGGATATGATCAATTTTGGGTAGGAAAAATAAGAATTGAGTAACTTTGTATACAAAATAATATTATGGTAGAAGACATAGACTAGGTGTTCTCATCTTCCACAGGTAACAGGAAACAAAGGATATGAGCTTAAATCAGTGTTCAGCTTGGTGTAGGAAACAGACCACTTGAGAGATGATTAGACATTACAACAGAATGAGTGCAGTAGCTATTGACATTCTTGCTATGTGCCAGAGACTCTGTTAAGTGCTTTTCCAATTATTTGATCTTTAACACAGCCATAGAAGTTGCACCTTTTTTTATACGAGGTCGCTGGTGAGGAGGTATGAAAGAGTTAAGGGCCCTTAATTAAGCAGCTGAAAGATGGAGTGGCCCAGAGTCTGAGCTGACTCACCGCCACCTTGGCAAGATAGCTTTCACCATGTCACAGAGTGAGAGCGCGTGATATCAGAGCTTCCAGCAGTGTATGTGGGCCCTCAGTTTGTGCTAATAACTTTCCTCCCTGATATCTTCAGAGTAAAAGATGATAGGGATTTGTTTCTTCCTGTTGTTTACTGTGATCAACCTAATGATGGTTTCTCTTTTTCTGTAGCCTCTTTATGGCTTACTTCAAGCAAAACTTCAACTCATTACACATGCATATTTTGAAGAGAAAGATTTTTCCCAAATTTCTATTCTAAAGGTAACTGATTTCCCTACAAATGTGTTTGGTGGAAGGTAGCTTAATGAATCAAGTAGCTCTGTAGTAGTACTGTGAAGCATAGTACTTGATAGTTTAAGAATAACATAGTTGAAAATCCTTTCCCTGGCCCCAGGAGAACATTCAGTGCTTAAGAGCACCCACATTGAATGGTTCGCAACCACCTAGGGATCACTCTGATGTTTTCTTCTTTGGCTTATTCAGGGACATACATGCACATTAATAAAAATGTTAAAGATTCACCATATATATATATATATATATATATATATATTCTTTATTTAAAATATATTTGCATTAAACATTGATATTCTAGCAAGCTCTACCTAAGTACTAAATGCAGACTGTCCTTGAGGAGGTAGTAACCGCAAGCAACTACTATCAGTGACTCTTACCAGTGTTGTGCTATGGCATTATGTCTATAAATTTGAATATCTGTTTTCTAGCCTGGTATTTTATTGAAGAAGGGTAGCATATTTTTCTCAAGAATGGCATCAGTATACAGTTCTGGATCTGTCCTGGGCCCTGGGGGAGAGGGACAGTTACAATTTAGTGAGGAGGCAGAGGGAAGGTAATTTATAACACTATTAAAGCTCTGAAATGGCTCAAAAAAGAAAGACTGTCCTAAGTAGCTTTTTGTTCTTTTTGCTCAGATACTCTCCTGATATTGTTGATGTCTACAAGAAAAGGAATGAGTTGAGTGCTGAAAACTAGTAGGTTTCAGAGACTGTGGTTGCTTAATTTAGTAGGTGGCAGGATAACCTACACAATCCTTTTCTGATTGTCATAATTCTAGGAGCTTAGGTCTAAAGTAATAGTGAAAGGTTCTAAACTTGGTCTGCATTCCACAGGAGCTCTATGAGCATATGAACAGTTCCTTAGGAGGGGCCTCATTAGAAGGATCACAGGTGTATCTTGGTAAGTAACTTGCAGGTTAGAAGCTACGTCCTCAAAGTTGTCTGTGGCCAAACTGAGTTGCACGTAACTCTTCATGATCAGAACTGTTAAAGCATATGTGCCTTTCATTGAATATTGTACAAATAATTAAATATTCACACAATCTTTGTATGGGATCTAAGTTCGTAAGTTTGCTTTCTTTCTTAAATACCCTCTTGCCAGCATTCATACAAGATTGATCATTATCTTACACTGGTAGTGACAGTTACAGGTAGTGCACAGGTGAGTTTGAACTTTTTAGAATAGTACTGGACTTCTTTTCATTAATGCTGATCAGTTTAATTACTAGCGGGATGGGGGCGGGTGCTGCTTAGCTCTTTACTGAAATTCTTCATCTTGGGGATTTGTTAAATGTACAGTGTTTTGACAGCTCAAAACATCCATTATTACCTGAGACAATAAATATTCTTTTGTGGTGAATATTCAATTATGGTGATGTTTGCTTCCTTGGTTTCCATTTCAATGTGAAGTAACTAATACTAATGTAGTTATACAGAAAGTCAGCTAGATAGTCCTGTTCTGAGAGTGTATTTATAAATTGTTTCCTCTTTTACTGTGGTTTTTGAGATGAATAATTGGAAAACAATGTGATTCAGAAATAATAGTATATGTAATCTAATGACTAGAAGTTACATTTAAATGACTGACTGCCGCAATGGTGTAAGCTTCATGAATTTTAAACTTCTGTGATTTATGTTTGTAGAATAGCAGTGTTAGACCCAGTGTCTAAAGCAGTATTCACTAATAATGAATAGATCTGTGTATTTATATTGCTGTTAATATAGTTTTAAAGCCACATTTAAAGTGCTCAGTGGCTAATGTATCCACAGGGCATATTTAAACATTTTCATTCTTGGGGAAGATTCTTTTAGACAGTACTCTTTCTGAGTGTATATGTGTTTTACCAAATATACATAAATGTTTGAATATTTATATATTCTCATTTGCTTTTTTAGATATTCTCTTCCTTTCACACTTAGTTCTCCTGTTTTACATTGTAGGTCTGTCTCCTCGAGATCTTGTCCTTCATTTTCGACACAAGGTGTGATAGATATCCTTCAACTTGTGATGTACTGAAAAGGGAAAGGCTGTTCTTGGGTTCCTTTTCCTGTGAACTCAGTAGGCAGCATCACAATCAGCTGACGGCATAATTGTGCTTTTGCTCTTCCTAACCACAAATGCTGGAGGCATCAGGGGTATTTGTGTGGTAAAAGTCTGGGAGTATCTCTTGTTGGATAGGGTTTACTTTTGATTCCTTTGTTCTGCAGTCTGCAATTTCACTTAGTGTGGGTGGAAAAAAATGTGTTCCCCGAACATTTTTCTACATAAATTATTTTTTTTTCTTTTGTTGTGGCTTTTGGGGCCAGACATTATGATCTTTATAGTTAAAGTATATGTTGTCTAAGATACACACACATTAGTCATTTATTTACCAAACCTTTATTGAATATCCATGTAAATGCTGTCTATGTATTCCAGCCTGCCCCTGAACTCACTGTGTAGCTAAGGATGACTGTGAATTTCTGATCCTCCTGCCTCCACTTCTGAGTGCTGAGATTTCAAGTGTGCACCACCATGTATAGCTTAAATGGTTCTGAGAATCTGAACACATGGCTGTCATACATTGTAGGTGCACACATTACCAACTGAGCCACTCCCCAGCCTCAAATCTCTGCCTTTTCTTGTAATTTTTTAAGCAAAATTAACACTATTCCTTCCAAAAACAAACTATTTCAATTGAAGATTAAATGATTCTCATATTTCTTGAGGACATTGGTAATACCTAATTTCTCAATTCAAGTTCATAATTTCTTATGTATCTTAAGTACTATAATTATTTAATATTACATAACCTGATTGTACTTGAGAAAAGAAAATAGCAAATGATTAATAGATCTGAGTTCTTATTTTAACACAACATTTCTTTTTCTTTCTGCAGGTCTTGATCCTGTTTAAGCTAATTCTTCTTGAAAAAAAGGTGAGATATAGAAAGATGAAAGGAAGAACAGATGTTTTATCTTTTATTGACATTGCTTACATATTATGTAACATGGGAATTAATGATTAAGTATTAAGACATATTTAGTCTATCAAATGAAACAAAATTCTTTGCTGTCATAAACATAAAAATTTGTGTGCCCTTTTTGGAGGCAGTTTGATAGTATATTCAATTATACTGTTGCCGAAAGAAGTTTAAACTAACTTAAATAGAAAAGGAAATGTGGCCGGGCGTTGGTGGCACACGCCTTTAATCACAGCACTCGGGAGGCAGAGGCCAGTGAATCTCTGTGAGTTCAAGACCAGCCTGGTCTACAAGAACTAGTTCCAGGACATCCTCCAAAGCCACAGAGTAACCCTGTCTCAAAAAGAAAAAGAAAAGAAAAGGAAATGTTGTAGTTCAGTCAGACTTGGTGCTTCCAGGGTATCACAACCTTGGGGGTTTTCTCTTTGTTCTACAGTCTAATTAATTTTACTCAGAGCTCATCTCTTTTATATATAAGAAACTTCCAACAGTAATTTGGCTGTTTGCTTCCTCAGACATAATATGACTTCCAAAATCGTTGAATATGAATTTGTGTCATCAGTTTGTTTGCCCATCAGGCAGAATTCAGAACTGTTACCAAAAGTTTGCCTACACTAATAGGCTTAAATTTGGGTTCCAGACCGCTCTGTACTACAAAGAGATGGAATTTGGGATTGACAGGATTGTTGCCAACCTCAAGTCTACGAACTAGGCCTCATAGTCAGTTCTAGCTTACCACTTACTTTTATAGAAGTTTATTGTTTTTAAAACTTATTTGTATTTATATATGTATATTAATGTTTATGCGTGTGGGTATGTGCACATGTATACAGTTACCTGTGAAAGCCATAAACAGAATTATCAGATACTTTGTAGCTGTAGTTACAGGGTACCTAATGTGGGTGCTAGGAATTGAACTCAGGTCTTTTGCAAGAGCAGCAGTTGTTCTTAACTATTGAGCCATGATAAGAGATGTATAGAAAAAGTTTTCTGGCCAGGCTGCGGTGATGCATGCCTTTAATCCCAGTACTCAGAAGGCAGAGTACTATCTATCTATTTTTTGGGTTTTCTGAGGCAGGGTTTCTCTGTGTAACAGCCCTGGCTGTCCTGGAACTCACTCTGTAGACAAGACTGGCCTCAGACTGACAAAGACCCGTCTGCCCCTGCCTCCCGAGTGCTGGGACTAACGGCGTGTGCCACCAACACTCAGCTGTGGTTGGCACTTTTTCAAATTATGGAATGCTTCATGAATTTGCAAGTTATCCTTGCACAGGGCCCATGCTTATCTTCTCTGTATAGTTGCAATTTTAGTATCTGTGCTGCTGAAGTGAGTTCCACTGGCATTTTTTAAAAGAATGTAGTCGAGTATTACAGAATTAAATGTGTGATTGTCTTCTTGGTGTTAGTTTCAGATTACAAATTTTAAGCATTTTTAGCAAGATGCTAAATGAGTGATCACATTACTTCAGAATGTGACATAACTGTACTGTTTTTGGTAATAGGAAATTTGATCATTTGGTTAAGGTGACAAACTACCTTAACTAATAATTTGTGAGATAATAAATATAACTGTGAATATTCTGTTGCCCAACAATCTTCCATGGTCATTTCAGTGTCCATTGGCAATATTTTTATAATTACTTTTATTTTTTTATTTATTAAAACTTTATTATAAAGAACTTGTAAATTTTTTAAAAATTATGAAATTAGCCAGACCCAACGTTTAGTTAACTCAGTGTGTGTGTGTGTGTGTGTGTGTGTGTGTATGTATGTATCTATGTATGTGTGTATGTAGGAGTTTCTTCTGCTATGTAGGACACACAGATTGAACTGAGTTCATCCATCAAGCACCTTTATCCTTTGAATCATCACTAGACCTCAGATTTTACCTGAATTTTGGTGGGTAGGAAAGCTGATTGTTTTTGTTGTTAAGTCATGACTCAAGGGTTTGGGAGAGGGGTTGTTTGTTAGTTTTTAAAGATGTATTTATTTTGTGTCTTTGAGTTCTCTTTCTTCATGCACACCAGGAAAGGTAGTCAGATCCTATTAAAGAGGGCTATGAGCCACCATGTGGGTGCTGGGAATTGAACTCAGGTCTTCCAGAAGAGCAGCCAGTGCTCTTAACTGCTGAACCATCTCTCCAGCCCGGTTTTTGTTTTTCAGTATTACTTATATACAAAGAATCTTTCCTTTATATATTAATATAGTTTCTTGAATTTTCTAATTTCATTTCATTGGAATCCATTTCAGGTTCTTTTTTACATTTCTCCAGTGAATAGATTGGTGGGTGCACTAATGACCGTGTTATCCCTTTTTCCAGGTAAGAGGATAGCCATAGTTACTTTTGTTTAAGGCTATTTGACTTTAAACTTTTAGTAATAAAAGTATACAAAAATAAATGCATTAATGTTAACATTTCTGTTTTAATTTTTCTTTTGGCAATAGCTTTTTGTTTTTTGTTTTGTTTTGTTTTTCCTGTTAGCCAATGTAGCAGGTCTTTCTTTGAACCACCAGCTCCCAAATAATGACAGAGACTTATTATTAATTCTGAAAGTTTGGCCAAGATTTGTTCCCAACTAGCTCCTAACCTTACCCTGCTTATATTTATCTACACTCTGCCATGTGGCCCGTCATCTCTCCTCAGTACCACATATCTGACTTCCTTCACATCCTGCTGGCAAATACCCTGCTGCTCAGATTCTTCCCAGAGTTCCAATCTCTGCCTGAAATCCCACCTAACCTGTCTTACCTAACTATTGACCATTCAACTCTTTATTAAACCAATCAGAAGGTGCCTGAGGCAAGTGAGGTAAAAGTGACACATCTTTCATACAGCGTGATCAATTATCCCACAATAAGTCTGTGTGCCTTTCTTTATTTCTTTATTTTATTTTTTATCCTTTATTTTGGGTAGGGTGGGGGGCTACAAGCCATGGCATGCTGGTGGTCAGAGGACAGCTTGTAAGAGTGTTCCCTTCTTCCACTGTGTGTGTGTTGTGGTATAGAACCTGAGTATTCAGGCTCCCATCTTAACTCTTTTTTTTCCCCAAGATAGAATTTCTCTATTTAGTCCTGGTTGTCCTGGAACTCACTATGTAGATCAGGCTGACCTCAAACTCAGAGTCTGCCTGCCTCTGCCTATGTGAGTGCTGGGATTAATTCAGGCGTAAATACAGCTTTTGAAAAAAGTTTATAGATTTCCACTCTATAAAGTAGAATATATATCTCTTATTTTCTTCTATATTATTATAATCCAAGCTGTTCTCCAATATTTTACATTTTAGGAATGATTGAACATGGCCTCAGTGACTGTTCTCAGTATAGACCCCGAAAGAGTATGTCTGAAGATATTGGACTTCAACAAAGTAATCCCCCTGCAGATGATTTTATTTCTGAGTCCACTTCTGACATTTCAAATACCAACTTGGGAACTGTCACAAAAATCATTTCAGGAAACCATGGAGGAGACACTGTCCTCCAGTTGGAAAAGCCTTGTTTCCAGGTAGAAGATAACAACAACAAAGAACAAGAACCCAGTGATACTGGCCGCTATTTGAAACTCCCACCTCGGCCATCTCCAGAGTCTTCAGAAAGTGACTGGGAAACTTTGGATCCTAGTGTTTTAGAGGACTCTAGCTTGAAAGAAAGGGAACAGATGGAGTCAGACCAGACAAACATATTTCAAAAAGACTCTGTGCCCTCCGACAGTCCTCCAATTACTGTACAACCTCAAGCTAACACCAGGCAGGTGGTCCTGATACCAGGACTCATTTCTGGTTTGGAAGAGGACCAATATGGCATGCCTCTGGCCATCTTTACAAAGGTAAAATGCAGCTTATTTATTGAGGGCATTAAATGTTTGAACACTTTTTTAAGATCTAAAAGTTGTCCTTAAAAACTGAAATATATATACTGAATGTATAGTGCTGTTAGATCTGTGATTATATTTAAAATTATGGGGGAAAAGCTCAAAGGGAAAGAGTTTGGAAGCCAGTGGGCAGTGAGGCCAGCAGTTACTGCATTTGGTCTATTTTTTACTATTCAGACTTCTCTTTGAAAAAAAAGAATGAAATGAAATCCTTAAACAAGTAATCTAGATAATCCTGACTGAACTTAAAGTTTGTATTAAAAAACTGTGCTTATAGCCAGTAGTCCCTGCTACGTAGGAGACTAGACAGGAAAACCACTTGAATCTAGGAGTTTAAGGCCAACTTAAAAACATAAGAGAGACTATCTGAGAAAAAAGAAATAATTCTAAAATCTTCCATTTTAAAACAAAAAGATTTGCATAAGTGTTTAACTTATGTTAGTAAGTATACATATTTCTACTCAGAATATATACATTTGGCTGGGTGTTGGTAGCGCACGCCTTTAATCCCAGTACTCGGGAGGCAGAGGCAGGCGGATCTCTGTGAATTCGAGGCCAGCCTGGTCTCCAGATTGAGTGCCAGGATAGGCTCCAAAACTACACAGAGAAACCCTGTCTGGAAAAAACAAACAAACAAACAAATTATGACAAACCATTCAATCCAGGTATCATGGTGTATACTTGTAATATTAGCAGAAGTGTATCTTCTAAATAACTAAGCACAGTGTAATAAATCAATTCAGTCTTTGATTCAGGATCTTATGTCATTGAATATAATCTTTTAACATCAGTCCTGCATTAAAGATGATACAATAAACCAGTAACAGTGATGCTAAGATATACCTGGGGCCGCTTCATTTGAAATGGTTTTGTTTTTGTTTTTCAAATTATTCAGGAAAAATTTTCCATTGCTACTTGTGAATTATTTTTCAAAGTGGAACAGGGAAAAAAAATCCATTTCAACTTTTATTCTACACATATTTATTGTCCTATGTGCAGGTTATCATAAATTCTTGCCATCCTCAAACTATAAATATGCCCTCCAAGTAATTAAAGCATGTTTTTTCTCTATACATTATTCATCTTTTATTCATGAAAAAAACCTACATAGAAAACAAAAAAGGATATATATAGTGGTTGAATGAATATTGACCCAAAAGTGCTCAGATATTTGGTCTCCAGTTGACAGTTCTGTTTGAGGAGATTAGGTGGTGCAGCTTTGCTGGAGAAAGGATGTGACTGGGGTGGGCTTTGGATTTAGAAGCCTCATACTGTTTCCAGCTCGCTCTGTTTCCTACTTGCCATTGAACATGTGAGCTCTCAGTTTCTTGTTCTTGCCACCTGCTTTAGTCATGGTGTTTTATCACAAGAGAAAAGTTGTCCTAACTACATGCCTGCAGCTAAATTTAAAGTAATGGACTAATTTCTTTGACAATTTCAAGGCAAGTAATATTGAATCTGGCATTATTATTGATAACTCTTATGCAGATCTACAATGAAAAACAGTAAACAACTCAGAAATAAATACAAAATGTATAGTTTAAAATAAACCAAGAAACTTAATGATGCAGCCAAAGCTTGTGCTGAAAGAGTTAAGGAAATTAATGCCATTAAGGAGAGGCCAGCACTGCCCTACAATAAAGGGAAGGTGTCCTTGGACAAGACTACCCAGCTAAGTTTCAGACTTATGAAAGAGGTCCTAAGGCCTTTTCTGCTTTAAAAAAGCTCTGGTGCTTAATGTAATTAAGGGGCCCAGGGTTCATCCCCAGCTAGCAGCCAAACTTGACAATGATGTCCACCGGGTGCTGACTTCAGAGGTATGAAGGATCGAAGAGAGAAGGGTCATGGATTCCTCCTCCATGGCTTTAGAGAGCTTCTGAGGCCAGGCAGCCTGTAGCCTGAGTGAATCTGTGAAAGTGAGATCTTTGGAGAGGAACCCCTGAGCTGTTAGAGATGCCAGAGCCATAGGATATCTGCCAGGGAGAGCTGCATACAGGGAGTGAAACCAGCCTAAACAAAGATGTATGTTACAGGCCGCAAAGCTGGAGGGGCAGAGCCATCTAAGTCTTTTGAAATTAAAACGCACATCAGACATAGAGCTACAGGATTTGAATTTTTCCACTAGGTTTCAGTCTTGCTTGGATCCAGTTTTTCGTAACTATTCCCTCTTTTCTCCCTTTTGGAATGGTAATGTATATTCTATGCCAATGTATGTCAAAAGTATATCATTTGTGTTTTGATTTTTACAATCAAGAGACTCCCTTGAGATTTTATGAGACTTTAGACTCTTAAATAATGTTCAGACATTGACAGTCTCGGAAACTTTACAAGCCAGGGCTCCATTGTCCACATTGATCTCAGTATTAATTTCTAAGTTCTTACAACAGCTTATTAACATCTGAACACCAAATAGCTTTTCTAGCCCAAAGTTTTAGAGTCCTTCTATTATCTTTCCCCCAAACATGGTCGGGTCTGTCACAGCAAAATCCCATGAACCTCCTACCAATTTCTGTATTAATTGGGGTTTCTATAGCAACTAGGAAAGGAAAGGGTTCATTTCACTTTACAACTCCTAGGTCACAATTGATCCCTGGGGGAAATCAGGGCAAGAACCTGGAACTGAAGCAGAATCCAAGGAAGAATGCAGCATACTGGCTTGTCCCTTAACTTATGGAGTTTCAGAGGGAAGTTTGAAGAGTCCCTTAAGGGCCATTTGTTATTTTGAATAAAGAAATGTTGATCTGGCCATTTGGGGTGAAGAATCCTCTACAATTAACAAGAGGCCAGAACCACTAAAGTGAAACCTTTACTTTTCTGGGACAGTTGATAGAGGTCAGCTGGAGCTAAAGAGTCAGCTGTGATTAGAAAAAAACTAACATCAAGCTGGGCATAGTAGCCATGCCTTTAATCCCAGGCAGAGGCTGGTAGGATCTCTATGAATTCAAGGCCAGCCTGGTCTACAGAGCAAGTTCCAGGACAGCAAGGGCTGTTACACAGAGAAATCCTGGAGAGGGAGAGAGAGAGAGAGAGAGAGAGAGAGAGAGAGAGAGAGAACAACATCATCAAGACAAAAATCTGGCAAGTGTTTCCTCTGGGTCAGCACACAAGCTGTGGTCCAGAGTGGGACAAGGCTGTTGTGCTGGCCACTAAACTTGATAATATGTAAGAGTCTCCCAGATAGTACTGGTTTTCATACCATGAAGGGGACCTGGAGAGTAGCTGGGGATTAGCACTACCTAAGCAGCTAGGAGAGACTACTACTGAGTGTGCAGCCTCAGGTAAAGAAGCCCCAAGACTGAATAAGTTGTGGAGAGAAGTTGAGACTTGAGACTTAGCATCATATGGCAGGCACTCAGAGTCCCCGAAGAAAGCTGGAGAGAGGCTATTTATCGGTGAAGGTGCAATCCATTTGTGGCAGAGACACCAGCATTTTGGAAATTCCATTAACATGATAAGCATCAAAGCCAGGTGTGGAATAGAGCAATTGTGAGACTGTGAAACATACTGTATGTGCTTGGATAGCAGAGCCACAGAGATGGTGCTGCTCAAGCCCTTTGGAGTCCAGAAGATTGAGTCCCAGTTGTCTGACACTGAGCTTTACACCTTGGGACCTAGGTTTTCTTTTGTTTAGATTGTGACTCTACCTTCCTTCTTCTCTTGGAATAAGAAATTACTATTACTTTTTTTATTTTATAGGAACACACAGTTCCTATAAAATGAAAAAAACCACAGTTTAGATACTTTAGAGAGACTGAACTTTTAAAAAGATGATGAATTTTTAAAGAAAACCTGGACTTTTAAAGTATTGAAATGTTTTAAAGACTGAAGAACTTTTAAAAATGTTCAGTTTATATTGTAATATTGATAGATCATGGGGATGAACAAGAAAGGAAGAGTTATGATTAGTAAGTGATATATTTGTGTCAAGTTGGCAAGGGGTCAAATGTCCTGGTTAGTTTTCCTCAACTTGACACAAACCTAACGATACATGGGAAGAGGCAATCCTAATTGAGAAAGCAACTCCATAAGATTGGCCTGTGGATATTCTGCAAGGCGTTTTCTTAAATATTGATGGGGGAGAGCTCAGTCTGTCATGGGTGGCTCCATCTCTGGGCAGGTGGTTCTAGGTTGTATAAAAGAGCAGGTTGAGCAAGCCTTGGGGAACAACAAGTCAGTAGTATCATTCCTCCAGGTTCCTGCTTCAGTTTGTGTCTTCAGCTTCCTGCCCTAACTTCACTCAGTGATGGAGTGTGACCTGAGAGTAGTAAGATGAAATAAATTCTTTCCTCCCCAACTTGGCTGTGGTCATGGTACATTATCACAGCAATAGCAACCCTAAGTAAGAAAATGTATGTACGTGTGCTGTGTGGTCCTGATGTGGTTGGTCCCAGATCCCTGGAAAGTGGAGTGGTAGACAGTTGTGGCCAAGTGAGTTTGTATACTGGGAACCAAACCCAGGTGCCCTGCAAAGCATCAGGTGATAACCACCAAGTAGGCTCTCCAACACCAGCGTGTGAATTTTTTTTAAACTGTCACTGTTTCCTGCATCTTTCAGGGCACTTTTTATCAAGAGGCAAATGAACTGAAGAAGAATTTTGGTTTTGCGGGTCAAGTTACTAAATTAAAGTGATGTGAATATTGTCAATAAACCATGTTTAGCTGATAGATTTATGTTCTTTATGCCAGTACTGACTATGTCATAGGCTTACCACTTTACTATGATAACTAAATCATTTTTCTTCTTGGCTTTATCTTTTATTGTATGTTGAGTAAAACCCAGTTTGTTGCTTTATCACACTTCTAACTACAAATACTGATCCTTTTTGTCAGTAACTTTGGAAGATGAAATATTCTTAAAACCACGTTGTCTTTAAGCTGTTTTCCTCCTGGAGTTAGTTCTTTTACTTTTAGATCTATTTTTCTCTTATACATGTAAGATTTTTGCCTGCATGTATGTGTATATGCAGTGCCTGCTCAGGTCAGAAGAGGATGTTAGATACCCTAGAGACACCCTTGGGTGGGTGCCACAGAGGGTTGAGAGCCACCATGTAGACGCTGCCTGTGCTCTTTTTGTTGTTTTTGGTTTTTTGAGACAGGGTTTTTCTGTGTAGCCCTGGCTGTCCTGGTACTCAATCTGTAGACCAGGCTGGCCTTGAACTGCCTCCCAAATGCTGCAGCCTGTGCTCTTAACTGCTAAGCCAGTTCCCCACCTTAGTGTCTGAACTTGGATAAGGACGATGTCAGTCTTACAGACCAGGTTTTTATGTAAACACTAGTGGTAATAGATTGTCAGGTGTTTGTCTGGCCTTTCCCTGAGAGCTGTTTAAGAAATATACTGAAGTAACAGAAGGGCTGAGGAAATGATGAGTCTAGAAGCAGATATCAAGCAGGACACCCATGGAGTGGTAGGAAGTAAATTGTAGATACCAAGAATGGTAGAAAAAAAAAACTTTAAAACAAATGCCTGTGAACTCATGCTTTGCAACTTAATGAGCAGAGGAACCGGTGGGGGGGGGGTGTGAAGAGCTAAAAAAAAGAGAGACTTAGAAATGTTTTAGGATGTGAAAATTCATTATTGAAGGTTTTCCATTTCCCCTGATTTTCTACTAGAATTGGGCACATTCTGGCATACTTAGGGTCAGACTGGCTAGAAAGGACTGGAATCCCTTTCTGTCTAATTGCATGTGTCAGCGTTCCTCTCCAGTTGCAAGTCATTTAGTATAATCAGTTGAGGTATGGTAAAAACTATGATTAGAAGTTACTTCATTATAGTTGCTATTTGTAAATTTAAAACAAAAAATTTAAATAATGAAATCTTATTATATCAGCCATGTGTGGTGGCACATGACTGTGACCCAGCACTTTGGTAGCTGAGGCAAGAGGATCCTTTGAGGCTAGCCGAAGATACATAGTAGGATCCTGTCTGGGAAAATAAAAACAAATTGTAACTGCTCAAATTGTAACTGAATATATAGAGTATATTTTTTTTAGTATTTGGATAGTTAGAGGGGAGATGAATATTCCATTACATTTTCTACCCTACTCTATTTTTTTTCATCCATTAGCAGATACTTTCATTGATTCTCCTGCTTGCCTATTATGAATTCTTGTGAGAATATGGATATGCATATATCTCAGTGATGTTTGCTTGGGATTTTTATTTGTTGTAATTTGTGTGTATTAGTGTATGTTAATCATACATGATAACTGTTCTGGGGTTTTTTTTGTCTTGTTTTATCAGTATATGGTATCATTTCAAATATAGATGTTAAGTTGTCCTAGATAAATAGGAAGCCAGTAATGGGTTTAGGTGTGAAATCTTTTTGGAAAAAGACCTATATTCTTCTGCAACCATATTCCAGCATCTCCGAAAGACTTTAGCTAAATTGAGTGTCATGGAAAGAAAAATAATGGCACTATATTAAACTCTTTTGAACTTGTGTCAATATGTAATATTTCCACATGCTTCAGTAGTAAAATGGTCCAAAGTACCTGTAATAAAACTTTCTATGGACTGAGGATTCAGAATGCATGCCTGGCATACACACAGCCATGGATTCAACTTCTAGAACCATATAGAAGGTGCACATCTACCTTCTGTAACATTACCAATGTCTTATTTCCTTCTGGCTGTATTTTATGGCATAAGGAAATGCATAGATTTTTGTGGTTCTGCTTCTTTTTCTAGATCCGGTGGTGTATTGGTTCACAAGGGTGGAAGGGCAGAAGCAAGGAACAGGGTTCAGACAGTTGTGGGTACAACAGAGACAGCCCTCAGGGAAGCAGACAGACTTTGGTGAATCTGCTCTTCTTTATTCCAGAGTATAGGACATATATAAGATTGGGGAGCCTGGGGCAAGTCCTCATTTGCATGGTGGCACACTCCTATCACAAGGCTTCATGTGTGGCAGCAGGGTCCTAAAGCAAAGCCCCTGGCACAAGTGTTAGTTGGCATGTGTGCAGCAGGGGAGGTTCTAGCAGGAAACTGTGCCAAGGGTCACCCTAGAGGTAAATCAGGCACCCAGACTTAGAGAAAGCTTTCAGATAAGGTCAGTCCTGTGGGCCCAGGGACATTCTCTAGATGGCAGATAGAGAGCAGGAAGTTTCGTTAGAGGGAAGGGAATCTAGTCCCCATGTCACTGAGCTTTAGAAAAAGCTGTCAGGCCATGATAGACTCCAACCTCTGACAAGCAAGGCCTTCCCACTGATTTTCCCCTACCCCTTTTACACAAACAATAGCACTCCGTACCCATCTTTTTCTGCCCTTAGATCACTTTTATATGACAATCTTGGAAGTTGAACTCCATCATTTTTGATGGCTTTAGAATGTTCCATTATATGGCTAAAAATGTACTCTTCTCTTCATGAAGTTATGAATCCTATTTACAATAAATAGTGCTCTATTAAATAACTTAAAGATATACCAACAGATGAGCAGGTATAAATTTAGTTAAAGTACTAGATGGAGGGATGGGTGTGTGTGTGTGTGTGTGTGTGTGTGTGTGTGTGTGTGTGTGTGGGTGTGGGGGTGGTCAAGACAAGGTTCTTTGTAAGTAGCCCGGTCGAAATATTCACAGAAAGGAAAATAGAAACTTGCTGAAAAATCCTCAGTCAGAATAGGTTTTGGTATGTGCGATGATTTATGTACAACATGAGGCTACAAATAAAATTAAACAGCTCTGCCCTGCCTTCGTGCACAAATCATTACCCCTGACCCCACCTTTAATTCTGGGGTTTGTGCAGGGTTGAGCTTGCTTTTGCTTGCTTGGTTTGTAGACTTAAATGCCTGCTGAGGGTATAATTTTAAGGCAGTGCTGTTTCAAATGGAAATTAGAACACAGATACTGTCGGTGTAACTTGGGCTTTAACTGTTTTGTAGCAAATACTTTGACATATTTTTGCAATTTGATAATAAACGGATGCTTTGCCATCTCATTGCACCTTCATGGTAGTGTACAGATACATGTTTTATAATTCTTAACTGTTTTCTATTAGATAACATACTTTTTATTGAATGCAATGCTTTTAATTTCCTAAATCAAAAAAGTCAGACTTTATTTAAATTGAATCAGAACCAATGTGATCAAGTAAGAAAGCCTTGCAGAGAGATTTGACTGTTTGTGAAGAAAATCAGTAAATCAGTAACTGGACCTACTGCAATCAAGGAGAGACATTTGTCCATGAGCATTATTTTATTGAGCCAGAGATTAACTAGACAGGCAGGGAAGAATGGACATTTCTTTTACTCTTTGCTCTTCTGCTTTTAGCTTGAAAAGAGAAGTAGCTGGGGTTTTTTTGACTTTTCTGTTATTTTCTGTTGCTTTTGTAATCCATAGGGATATCTGTGTTTGCCTTACATGGCATTGCAGCAGCATCATCTTCTCTCTGATGTCACTGTTCGGGGATTTGTGGCTGGAGCTACTAACATCCTCTTTCGACAACAGAAGCACCTCAGTGATGCCATTGTGGAAGTACGTTTATGTCTGAGTGTGTATACTTGGCCTACCAATTCACTTCTTCCTTTCCTAATTATAATTATGAAGCTATAGTAACAGCACTAACAAAGAAAATAATGCTTGCTCTATTCCAGTAACTTTAATTATATATCTTTGTTTGTTTGGGGGTTTTGTTTTGTCTTGTTTGTTTTGTTTTGTTTTGTTTTGAAACAGGGTCTCTCTGTGTAGCCTGTCCTGAAACTCAGAGATCTGCCTGCCTCTGCCTCCCAAATGTTGGGATTAAAGGCATAGCTTACTATGCCTCCTTACTTTATATGTATTAACTGATCTAATTTTCCTAAAAGCCCTATAAGAAAAGTACTGTCTATATTTTCACATACATAAGCTAAGGTACACAAGTTAAGTGATTTTCCAATTATCAATCAACTGGTAAATGCTTGAGCAAAGATTCCAACCTGAGTAAACCAACCTATCATGGTCTCAATGCCATATTAAAATGTGAGTTTTTTTCTTTTTTTTTTTTTTAAACTAATTTAAACACATATCCTGATTAATGTATTCCTGATGTTATGGAAGTTCCGAGTACATATTTGATTACTTATTGATACATTTAAGTTTTTTGCTGCTGTTTTGTGTTTTTGAGACAGAGTTCTGTGTGGCTTTGGAGTCTGTCCAGGAACATGCTCTATAGACCAGCCTGGCCTCAAATTCACAGAGATCTGCCTGCCTCTGCATCCTGAGTGCTGGGATTAAAGCTGTGTGCCACCACTGCAAAGCTGTATTTAAATTTTTTAATTACTCATTTAATTTCACAATTTTAACAGTACTAGGTCTTTTATAATTAGTGACAGAATATTCATACATTGTGGGAAAATGGTTGAAATATAACATGAAAAATCCAAGATTCAAAATTATATTTATTATACCAAATTTGAGTGAGGGGGGAAAACCAGATAGGAGGGTACAGGTGAGAGAACCACAAAGTACTTTAACATTCAGAAGTTGTTTGGTGGATGTTTTATTATTTCATCTAAAACTAACATTTGGGGATTAGTGTACTGGTACAGCAGTTGCTAAGTATGCCTAAGTTCCTGATTTTAATCAGCAGCACTCAAAGAACAAAACAAAACCTTGCAAGGTAGTCTTTTTTTTTTTTTTACATAAAATGTTACAGTATTTAAAATATTCTGAAATATCCATGCCCTCAAAATGGAAAAATTTAAAGAACTTATAACTGAGCTTGTTCTTTTCTGTGTTAATATAAGGGCAAGTTTCATTGTGTATGTATCTATATTTCCCCAAATATTTGCACTGTGAAAGATTTTTAAAAGCATGAATTACTTTTATATTCAAAGTCATGTTATTTGCACATGTATTTTTTTTCTGTAAGTTCTGCTTTTAAAAACTTACTTATACATGTTTATTCTGCCTACATATATGTATATGTGTGTACTGTGTGCACATTGAAGGTTGGAAGAAGGTGTCAGATCCCCCAGAACTGGAGTTACCCATGGATATAAGCAACCATGTAGGTGCTGTGAAACAAACCCAGATCCTCTCCAAGAGCAACAAGTGCTCTTAACCACTGACTCAACTATGCTTCTCTGCCTGTATTTTTAAAAAATAAAAATCACTTTTATAAAAATAAAAGTATATAGAAACTTCAGTGTAAAAACCTGCCTCTTTCTTAGACTGTCTGATATTTTTTTTTTATTTCCAGCGGCAGTTCCCCAGTGTTTACCTTTAAAATGTGGCATGGATGTCTGTGTGAGTGTCCCAGCTCTGACTTGTTCCTGAATACTCTTCTAGGTAGAAGAGGCACTAATCCAGATCCATGATCCGGAACTTAGGAAGCTGCTTAACCCAACCACTGCAGACCTAAGGTTCGCAGATTACCTAGTGAGGCATGTGACTGAGAACCGCGATGATGTCTTCCTGGATGGCACAGGCTGGGAGGGAGGTGACGAATGGATCCGGGCACAATTTGCAGTCTACATCCATGCTCTGCTGGCTGCTACACTGCAGTTAGGTAAGAAGCACACAGCCACGTTTCTTCCTATGAATTTTCATGTTCTGGTGTAATGTTTTGTGAAAGTGTCATGAAGATAATTTGCCTTGTTGTGTCTATCAGGGTTTTAGATCATTACTGTCACTCCCACCTACCAGGGTAGTTTTAAATCCAGGTTTCAGAGACGTCCTTTATTATAAAGAAGAACTAATGGTCAAGTCCTCATTTGTTAGTTGGATGTTTTTAAATGTCTGTCACCTCTACGAATACAGCAGCAGAAGCATCAAAATTAAATCTTGTGCCAGGTGGTGGTGGTGGCACATGCCTTTCAGGAAGCAGAAGCAGGCAAATCTCTGTGACTTCGAAGCCAGCCTGGTCTACAGAGTGAGTGCCAGGACAGGTTCTAAAGCTACACAGAAAAACCCTGTCTCAAACAACAACAACAAAGACAGGGTTTCTCTGGGTAGATTTGGCTGTCTTGGACTAGGTTGGCCTTCAACTCATAGAAACCCGCCTGCCTCTGCCTCTGCCTCTGCCTCTGCCTCTGCCTCTGCCTCCCCCTCTGCCTCCCGAATGCTGGGATCACCATCCGACAAGAAACCCTGTCTTAAAAAAAAAAAAAATGCATTTCAAATTTAATTACTAATCTAAAAAGTAGCCCAGGTAGCCACCAGGTTTTGGGCCTCATGAGTAAACAACTTAAAAAAAAAATTAATACATGAAAAGTCTGTTCTGAAAACTTTATAGCTAATACTCTTTTTTTTTTTTTTTTTGGTAAGGTTTCTCTATGTAGGCCCGACTGTCCTGAACTTGCTCTTGTAGACTCACTCTGTAGGCTGACTTTGAACTCAGAGATCCACTTGCCTCTGCCTTTGCACTGCTGGAATTAAAGGCATGCAACACCACTACCCAACTCATTTTATAGCTAGTAATTAATTTTTACCTTAACAGTAACCCCAGACATTCCAATTTTACAGAAGATAGAATGAGGTGGGGGAAATGCCATAACTTGCTCATCCATCTGGTTGAGAGGCTTCAGCTGTCTGGTTTAAGTCTGCTCCCAGCCAGCACGGTCAAGAGAGGAGAATTAGCTGCAGGAGTGGCTTGTCAAAGCATACCTTTAAGCTGTAGATGCAACTGTGTCTCCTAGGCCTTTCCTAGTAACAAAAGCTACTTGCATTTCACCTTCAAAGCAAACAACATAGCCAGCCATGGTGGCACACACCTCAGTTACCACCTGCCTGGACAGAAGAAAGCCTAGACCAGATGGGTCACAAGAATTTGAAGCAAACCTGAGTACATAGCAAGACCTTGTCTCAAAAACAAAATAGCAGACCTTCGTGCCTGTATGATAAATGTGAGGCAATAGCTTGTTAGATCAGTTTTCCAGACCTTTTCTGTCTCTGCAAGTAGAAAAATGTTCTGTATTGACACTTCCCCATAGTATCAAGAAAGGCAGGAGCTATTTAGCATTAATGTGAAAATCCTGTGTTAAGTATTTTTGACAGTACAATACTTGGATACTCAAGAGTAAAGCACCAAATAGTGAGAGAAAGTCCAAACAAAGGAAACTTGGATAAAAAAGCAGTTGACTTGCTTGTTCTTAACTCTTTTGACATTTGTGAAGGGGTTCTAACTGCCCCACTATATGCTTATGCCAGTATGTCTGCTCAGTGGCAAGTCTCTAGTTTCTGTGCAATAAGTGAGATGATCCTTGTAACGGTAAGGAAAACATGAAAACATTTTGGTGTTGTAGAGAGCTTTGGAAAATGTTTGGCTCAGTCCTCTTATTTTCCAGTTAAGAAAATGAAGTTCTGAGTGATTAAGTGACTTGCCAAAGGCTACATAGCTTCTTAACAGGAATTCTGGAGCTAGACTCAAGTTTACTGACACCTGTAGGCTTTGTCCCCACACTGTAGGAGTGGGACTTAAAACTATGCTTTCACCCTTTATGGTTATTAATCTTCATGCCCAGATGGCTGTGGTCCAGCTCAACTTCTTTCAACCATTTATTGTCAGATAATGAAAAGATGTTATCAGACTATGGAACTACTTTTGTTGCCGCCTGGAAGAATACTCACAACTACAGGGTATGGAACAGCAATAAGCACCCAGCACTTTCAGAGATAAACCCAAAGTAAGTACATCCTCTAGACTGATGGGATAGATAATGGTTGCTTTTCAAAAGAAAGTCTTTTTGTTATTGAGACAGTCTCACTGTGTAGCCCCTGCCTAACCTGGAATTCACTATGTAGACCAGACTGGCCTCAAGCCTAGAGCCACTTGGCTCTGCCTTCCCATTGCTTAGATTTTTAGTGATACAAACATTTATTGGCTATTTTCATTGTATTTTGAACTTCATTTCTTTATGAGAAATGGACAAAGTCAATTTTGTGTTCAACACCATTTTATTTGGAGGCTGTAGTTTAATGTTCTTAGCTAAAGTGGAACTGTGATTTAACTTATGCTAGAAAGGATAAAGACACACAGACTTTACAAGGTACAGATTAAACAGGATCATCTGCATAGGGAGGTAGTTTTAGAACATTTTGGTGAACACATCTGTTATCTCTCAAAGAAAATGAATAGGTTCAACCCTAACTTTGGTGAATTTTTTGGCTGTAGCAAAACCTATATTGTCATCTGAATATATTAAAAAACTTAAAAGAAGACAACATTTTATTGCTATTAAATGAAGAAACTAAGAGTTCAAAGTAGTATGCCTTGCCAGCTACAAGGTCTATGTTCTGAAGCATGTAAAGAGAAAGTATGTGAGCTGGTTTGCCAGGGACACTTGAGGTGGCTCTCCTTACCCTAATTGTCAGCTGCCCAGTATGTGAGCCATCTCCATCATTGCATCTGATGCTACTAACCTGAACCAGCTCTACAGATCTTAATGCTATCACATAGGCTTAGCTAGAATGGGCTTTAAAGGATTATAAATCCTTTGATATGGTACCTATTTAAATGGTACCTAGACAAAATGTATAAAGAAACTAAGGTTATGAGAGTTGAAAACCAGACTGGAGTATAGCTATGCATGGTCTCACATGCTTGCAATCCCACACTCAAGAGGCTAAAATAGGAGAGTTGTTAAGTCGGGCCACATGGCAAGACTTGTCTTCAAAAACAAGGATGACAGCAATAGACATGCTAACACAAAAGGGGAAGTCTCATGGGTCTTCAAAGCCAGACCAAGAACTACAGAAAGCTAAGGAATGCTGAGAACAGAGGAAGCAGAAGACGTTTTCACAGGGAAGAGCCCCCAAATTGTGGTCAGCCCTGAAATCATATACGTACAATTAACATTAAGCAGACTAAGTTTTATGTGTATGTGTGCAATTAAAGAAACAGAGGCCATAAATTTGAGAGAGCAAGATGGGTTACATTGGAAGGGTTGTAGGGAAGAAAGGAAAAAGGGGGAACAATCAGGAAGTATAATTTGGAACATTCCAAACTAATTATTTTTTTAGCTCCTAAAGCAGAATCCTCTAAAATTACCAAGCATCAGCCACATCCTACCTCTAAAATCAAGCCTTTCTGAAAACAGGAAGAAAGAATGATTGGGGATGCTTTTGTGATTTTATAGTGTTTTGAACTCAGAGCTTGGAACATATTAGGCAAGTGATATACCAGCTACAACCACAGAATGTTTCTGTGATTTGTTAGATTAGTTATGATATCTATAAAAGGATGACCTGCTCTCTGTGCTTGCTTTGACTCACAGCACTTTGCTGTCATTTGAAAAGTAGCTGTGAATTTCAATTTCTTCATAGCACTGGACAGAGGGACCTGAGTGTAAGATAGGAATTGTTTATTGACCTCTCTCTTCCAGTCTTAATTGCTTGAGTCATGTGTTTGGTTTGCTTTTGGTTTTAATAAACTGTTTTTCCTTAGGTGTGGCAGAAATAAGTAAGAATAATGTATTTTCATACAAAACTACAGTGCCATTTTAGTTTCTGCATTTTGAGTTGCTTGTCTAATAAAAACAGTTTTTGCTGATTCACCAGCAAATCTTTTCATGGGCAATGACACATATTTATTTACAGGGCAACCAGGGTCAAGGTACGCTTGTGACTCACCTACGTCAGTTACTCACCTGATTGATTTCCTAGTGTGTTTTTAAGCTGGGTTGATGCTTAGGTCTCACCGCAGATGAAGTAAGGGGTGTTGTTAGCACTATGTTGGGGTAGTTTTAGCACCTCCATATCCCTACACACACATCCATCTCTAACCATGGTCATCCATTGCACAAAGAAAGAAGATAGGGCTCAAAATTGTTGAGTCACTTCTTCTAGAGCTCATATTAGGAATGATAGATGGGGCCCCACTGTCAGTTTAAGAGCACTGTGTCCACTTGTGTCCCCCAAAAGGTTTACTAACAGCATGCAGCTTTATTGATGATGCACTCATAGTCTAAACTTAAGGTTTGTTTTGCAGCCATCCTTTTCAAGGCCAGTACTCAGTGTCAGACATGAAACTCAGATTCTCACAGTGAGTACTTATAGAAAGTAAGGGGAAATTATTCTGTCTGAGTACATACCATGTGTTTCATTGCCAATTGGGTATTTTGTTTATCTACTTGATGGACTTGTGTTTCAGATAGTAACCCAATGAGTATAACATTCTGTAATTGAACAGCATGTATTTTAAAATGAAAGCACTCTGTCCATCCACAATAGTATGAAAAAAATAACAGGACTTATCATTCCTATTTTGATGACATGCTGTCAGCAAACCATGTCTGTCAAGGAGATACATCTTTATGTCCTCACCTCTTAGCTCATTTCTGGGGTCTTTTAGTACATTCTGAAATTTACTCATAATAATTTTGCTTTTTATTTTTCCAGTACTAATTTGGGATGGTAATGGAGTGGTTTGGTTGTGGGTGTTCTCAAATGTTTGAGATTTTTAAAAATTGTATTTCTTTTCTTAGTTCTGTTCAGAACAGTGAACGTGGCAAAAAAATTGGCAATGTCATGGTCTCAACTAGCCGGAATGTGGTACAAACAGGAAAAGCTGTCGGTAAGGCACACCCTCAGCAGGAGCTGCTATCACACATACCTATTTCTCTCTTCAATGTGTATTTCATTAAAATAAAGTTATAGACATTTGTGGATCATATAATACAAAGGGGATTTTTAAATTGTCAGTCTTAACCAGGAGTTGGTGGCTCACACCTTTCATCCCAGCACTCAGGAGGCTGAGGCAGGCAGATCTCTGTGAGTTCGAGACCAGCCTGGTCTACAAGAGCTAGTTCCAGGACATGCTCCAAAGCTATACAGAAAACCCTGTCTTGAAAAAAAAAAATTGTCAGTTTTAAAAGTAAGGAAGGCATTTATGTTTTCTAAGTGGAGTGCTAAAAGAGACACTAAAGCGGTGACTTCACTGTAGACTCACAGGAACTGAAAGGACAAAGGAAGCTTGTCAACAAACTTGACATAGATGGACAAGTTCCTTGAAAGACATAAACTAATAAGGAATTTAAAATCAGAATAGCTCTGGCTCTGCTGAAGAAATTAAAACCTGGTGCCAGATTTCTAACTTAATCCACATCTATGTTGGCTTCACTTTTGAATTCTCTCTTCCTCCTTCCTTCCTCTTTCCCTCTCTTTCTTTCTCTTATTCAACCCTTTCTTCTTTTTGTTAAGACAGTCTCACTTTGTAGCTCTTGTTAGTCTCAAACTCTGGATCTTCCTGACTCAACATCCCAGGTGCCGAGAATATAAGCTTCTCTTTGAAATTCTTAGAAATAACATAATTGTATACAAAGCCTTTCAGAAAGTAGTGAATGAGGTAATACTTTCCACCTCATTTTATGAGGCCAGTATCAACCAGATACCCAAAGCTAGATAAATCATAACATGTTACATATATCCTTCTGTGCCTACCATTTTGTTCACTTAAAAATTTTTGAAGATGATATTCCTTGTTGAACCTGAATAAATTCTTTATTTCCCCTTTCCTTCTCTTTTCTTTGTTTTGTTTGGTTGGTGTTTTTGTTTTGGTTTGGTTTGTTTTTTTTGTTTTGAGACAGGGTCTCACTATGTAGCTCTGGCTAACTTGTAACTTGTTATGTAGACCAAGGTGGCTTTGAACTCAGAGATCTGCCTGCCTCTGCCTCCCAAATACTGGGATTAAAGGTATGCCCCACCACATCCAGCCCCTCTTTTCTGTATTTTTAACTTGTTATTTTGATCCAGTTTCAATCCTAGAAACCACAGTAGTTACTTTTCACCACTTTGACCGTACCTAACAGAAGCAAGGGAAAAGTTTGCTTTAGCTATGGTTTTAAAGGGTACAGTTCATCAGGTTGGCAAAGTCGTGATGGAATTCATAACAGTGTGAGAATGTGGCTGTTCCTTTCATCCTGGTGTATCAGGAAGCATGGAACTGGAACTGGAAACATACAATCTCAAAACCCCACCCAAGAATTCGCAAAATAGCATCACCATGCAAGGATAAAACATTCAAACATATGCTGTGGGGATACTTTATGATTAACACATAACACAAATAACTGTTAGCTAACCCTATTGAACACAACTCAAAAGCCCCCTATGAGAATGTGTCATAGTGATCTTGGTAGCTAACATTCCTTACACCTATAGAAAGATGGTGGAAGGACTCTATGAACTCATTTTAAAAGGCACAGAACATATAGTCCTACTGTTAGATTCACTTTATTGCCAGAGGAATGGAATTTGATATATAAATGTGGTGGTTATTTTCTTGCTCTTTTTGCTGTTCAGTCCTTCCTCTTCTTCCCAGATTTCTCCTCCTATTTGTTGTCTCTGCCTGCCAGACCTGCCTATCCTTTCTCCTGCCTCACTATTGACCGTTCAGCTCTTTATTAGACAATCAGGTGTTTTAGATAGGCAAAGTAACAACAGCTTCAGAGCTAAACAAATGCAAAATAAAATAATCCAACACATCTTTGCATCATTAAAACAAATGTTCCATAGCATAAGCAAATGTAACACACATTAAAATAATATTCCACAACATATAAGCATTTATTTCTGTATGGTTATACATTTGATTTATTTTGAATTCTTATTATACCAGGCTTTTTCTTACAGGCCACCAGCTCCCAAATCATGACATGGATACTTGTTACTAGTTATGAATGTTCTGCCTTAGCTTAAGTTTGTTTCTTGCTAGTTCTTATAACTTAACCTGTTTCTTGTCATCTATGTTTTGCCTCGGGGCTTTTACCTTTCTTTTTGCCTACTTTTTTTTTGGGGGGTGGGGGTGTTGAGACAGGGTTTTTCTGTGTAGCCCTAACTGTCCTGAACTCATTCTGTAGACCAGGCTGGCCTCAAACTCACAGAGATGCATCTGCCTCTGCCTCCTGAGTGCTGGGACTAAAGGCATGTGCCACCACCACCCACCCTGTATGTCCTACTTTTACTACTTATTGTGTCTGCCTGACTTCTGGCCCCACTTTTCAGTGTTGCTGCTGCTGCTAATTAAATCGAAATAGCAGTAACTCAAATAATTTCACACAGCAGCTTCGGAGAGAGTATTTAAACAGCAAAGACTTGAGGCCTGCAAGGCTCTGAATTTCTTTGTTTTATATAGCAGTTTTAGATTCTCTTCCAGTATATTACTATTCTTCCAGTATGAGTAAGTGGTTACTCAGCATTTAAGGTACATAGAGTGTATGACTGTGTGAGTGTGTGTGTGTGTGTGTGTGTTGTCGTCTGTCTGTCTTGTCTTCCTGAATGTGTATGAATATGTACAGGTATGTGTGTGTGACCATGGAAGCTAGAAGCATTGGATCCCTGGGAGCTAGACTTAAAGGTGGTTTTCGAGTTTACTTATATGGGTGCTAGGAACTGAATCTGGGTCCTCTGGAAGAACAGTAAATGATCTTAACTCCTGAGACATCTCTGCAGCCCATGTTTGACTTTTTAAGCTCTCTAGGTAATTCTGATTCACAGTCAGAGTTGCTAGTGCTGTGGCTATAAAATTATGTTATTAACCCCCTACAAAGTACCTAGTGTGCCTCCTATGGTAAGAAATTACTTGGTTTTCTTTAAGATATTCCCATTGAAAGAGATTGTTTTAAACTGAAATTTTAAGTGGTATTTTAGTAACCACATCGTTTTACTGTGTTTCAGTGAGATACCCTTTTTAATGGTTGTTGGGTTTTCATTGTCTCGTAATAAAATATTGAGTATAGGTTGGAGGTGTGGTTCAATATTAGAGCATCCCCTGAGTTCCATTCTCAGCATGCAAAAAATTAAACCTTTTTATTAAGTTCATATATTTTTCCTTTTGTTTTTCTTTTTCACACAGGCCAGTCAGTGGGAGGAGCTTTTTCCAGTGCAAAGACAGCTATGTCTTCCTGGCTATCTACTTTCACCACATCCACCCCTCAGAGTCTTCCTGAGCCACCCAATGGGAAGCCTTGAGGCCAACAGCAGAAGTTGCTTTGTTCTCTAAGGTGTAATGCTCCCTCCTCATCTGTTGCTCCCAGGGTCTCCTCTATCTACGGGTCCATACCCAGGGACCAAGATAGCAAAGTGTTTACATGGACGGTTGCACTCTGTCTAAATGAATGTTCCAGGATGCTGAACACATGAAACCACAACCATAGCAGGACTTGATTTCCAGGTTGGGGGTTAAATTGACTACTTTTACTTCATTCTGAGCCTAATTAATGTACACAATGAACCTTCTAGTGAATTTTAAGTTCTGAGATTGTACATTTGTTTACGTAGAATTTTTACATATGTATATTTTGTTCTATTTTGCTGTTTAAATATTTAGATGGTCATTGTAATTTATATTGACTAAAATTAAGTTATATTACTATTCTCTGAAGTTAGCCCTAAAATATACTTGTAAAGTATAGGGACTATGCATTCCGGCCTATATTACTCTGCTGAGTTCTAGGATGAACTTTTGTGGGGGTGGGGCATGGAAGGGACCTTCTACCCACTGAACACATTTACCAGCTCATTTCTTCCCAGAGCTGTGAAAGTCAAGAGGGAAAGCTCTAAAGATGAGTTGTCATTTTAGATGTGTTTCTTTGTGACAAAGTTGGTGTGAGGCAGCAAAGACGCCACTGTGCTTTCCTCCTGCTGGCAGTGACCATTCAGGGAAACAGCAGTGGTGGCTCAGGAGCACGGAAGGGTTGGCACATGTCTGTAGAGCAGTATTTTAATGACCCATGTGCCGGCATGATCAGCTCCAGTTATGTTGTAGTCTTAATCAGCACTTTGTTATCTAAAATGTGTGCCTTGTTTCTTCTTGTGAATGGTTGTCCATTGGATCTTGACAGATCTGCAGGCCTTCTTTAGTCTTATTCTGCATCGAGTCTTTCAGAGATATTTGGCCTTCCTACTTCCCTGACTGAAAATCCTCCTTTAGTCAGATCTACCACCTTTAAAAGAAAAACAAAGTGACCAATAAAGGTCACAACAATATAGACCACAACTTAGCTCACACGTAGAAAACCAAGAAGTGGGCTAGGGGATTGACTTAGTGAGGAAAAGCGATTAATGTACAAACCTGACAACCTGTGTTCAGATCCCTGGAATCTGAATAATCTGTAATCCCAGTGTTCCTATAGTGAGATGGGAGTCAGAGTCAGGACAGTGTTCTGGAAGCTCACAAACCAGCTAGTCTGGAGTGTGCAGTGAATTGACAGAAAAAAAGACAGATCCTGCCTCAAAACAAGGTGGAAAAAACCAACTCTTGAAAATTGTCCTCTGACTTCTGCGTGGGTAGTGTGTCATTGTACATGCTTACACAAACACACACACACACACACACACACACACACACACACACACACACGCACGCACGCACACACGCACACGTACCCCTCAGATGATAGAAATGTAAGAAGCAAGAGAATGAGCCCACAGCCATGCTGTGAGTCACTTGTTAGGTAAAGTACAACTAGTTTCATGTTACTACAGGCATGAATTGGCCAACTTCTCATGATTTGTACATAGCTGGAGTTCATGTGTTTATCATTCATAACTGACATTTGCTTTTCAGGGGATCCTTAATGGGGGCTCTCAGGGACTACTTTTGGGGAACAGTCTGCCTTTTTAGTAACAGAAGACATGTGGAATAATCATATCTACATATTTTTTAACAAGCACTGGAAAAGTAAGGGGCCTAATTAAGGACATGGATTATATTCCATTTATCCCTTATGCCCTAAAGACTATGAAAGAACATAGGGCATAATCTAATATCTCTAAAGCTTTGCAATTTGCACTTCCACACAAAACACAAACTACTTCCAATTGGGCATAATACCTTGAGAGAATCCAGTGACAATAAATTGATTAATATGAGATAAATAAATTGTTTAATGGGAGAACACCATTCATTTGCTTCAGCCAGGGAATATTTATTTGAAAGAGAAGTAGTAAAGCCACACGAAGCTGAAAGGCATTTTAATCAGTGTTTTGCTGAAACTGTTGGTTTTCTTAGATATCATTCATGTAGCTACAGCATGACAATGGACCTGTGGTAGTTGGCATTGCTAGGAGCCCTGACTCGTTAGTCAATAAGATAATAATTCATTCTTTAGTTTGCACCAGGTGTGTATGACTGGGTATATGCCTGCTGTCACTTAAAAAGCAATGCAACACTCACCTTGGAATATACTTGAAGAAAAAAGTTAAATGAAATTTAATTCTGCTTTTGTATCACATTCCCCATTTGAGTGTGTGTATGGGTCCCTCTGCATAGGATCTTACAGTCTGACTACACAAGTCTCTAAATTGCCATCCTCCTGCCTCTGTCTCCCAAATAACTGGGATTATAGGAGTTTACCACTCTGCTAAGCTTAAGTGTGTATTTTAATTAAATCTTCTCTTAATGTAAATTAAAACTTAACTCTTAAAATGGTCACTTTACTGGCTTTCAGCATATAATAACTTATCTTGGAATATAAAACATCCTAGAATGGTCAGAGACCATATGCCTGCTTCCTTCAGGTTCAGGGAAGCATTGACTTTTCAAGGGCCATATGCCATTTTCTTGTTGGCAGGGGCACTCCTGTAGCCAGTGTTGTGGAGAATAAGAGATGTGGCCCTAGCCCAGGGAGCCCACACACTGCTTTAGGCACCAGTGAGAGAGACTAACTGATGAGTAGTCTCCAAACACTGACGCCGTAGCCCTGGAACCAATACCAGGCCTTTTGACTCTTGCCTGCAGAGTTATGGATGTTGAAGCCCACACTTTTCTCCAGTGACCAACAATGCTTTTGTGTCTAAGAACTGAGTGTTTGTAACTAGACCTGAGGAAGTGAAAGTCAACGAACAATTTTCAGGTTTACAGGATGCAGACATTGTCGGTAGCTGTACTGCTTGCTGTCCAGGTGGTTTTGAGGAAGCCCATGATATTCCTAGCATAGTGACAGTGACATTGATAAGGGAGAGAGTTAAAACTGTGAATCTTGGCTAGATGAGTAGAAATTCTGAAGCTGCAGGTAACAGAGGTGGAGAACAATTTTATATGTATATTTGATTCATGAAGAATATGAATTGGCCAGGCCGTGGTGGCGCACGACTTTAATCCCAGCACTTGAGAGGCAGAGGCAGGCGGATCTCTGTGAGTTTGAGACCAGCCTGGTCTACAAGAGCGAGTGCCAGGATATGCTCCAAAGCCACATAGAAACCCTATCTTGAAAAACCAAGAAAAAAAAAAAAAGAATATGATTTGCCCATCCCTAAATCCATTCATGATTCACTAGCCCCCACGCCTGAAAGCAGTTCTCCTCTCTCTTTGAATTAAGAAACAGCAGGGCCTTCTTGAACACAGGACATACTTCCTCCACCCTGTTGCTTTCCAGGTTTTGAACTAAGCAGTTACTGTTCTTTAGAATAGCTTTCCTTAGAAACTCAAGGAGAAAGCAAATCCGGAAAACAAAAATGAAGTGTTGCACAGCTGGGGAGCAGGGCACTCAAAGTCTGAATGAGAGTATTTTGTCATCAGTGTTTAACCTATTTCAGGTATGAGTTCTTTAGAGGAGTTAGAACTGTAATCAGCTATTTGCGTTTCTAAATGAAGCTGTAACATTCTTTTCCTGATAGGCAGGGTTTATTGAAGCTGTATATTCTCTGGAGAAAATTTTGTGGGAGTTAACAGTCAGTGGCCCCTTTCCCTCCCATGTTGATAGGTTTGGAAGTCCTGCAGGCCATCATCCTCATCTATACCCACAGGCAGACATCTGCTGCAGCCTCCACAGAAGGCAGTCTGCTAGGGCAGAAGCTGCTGACTGGTCTGTGGTGCTAAGTGCACCAGCCTGTTAGTGTATTGGGGCATTGCTTGGGATTTCTGAAGTGGCAAGATTCGCACACTCTGGTTCCTTATTGAAAAATGGCCCAGCATTCCTGGCTTTCCATGCCATCTCTCGGGAGCCTTTAACTGTGATGGATACTCCCCAAAGCACTCGAAGATAGCCATCATAACATGCTGTGCCGCTGGGTCTTTCTCATTCCAAGTCTTCTGTCTTCGTTGCTTTGGAATTGCTTTTTCATATTTCCCAACATTCCACAAACTTTTCAGAAACAAAGAAAAGGAATGTGCATCTTTATTTTTTCATATAAAAAACTTCATAAAAATGACTTCCTACCTATATGTTATGAAGAAGAAACTGGCTCCCTTATGTGTTAGAACACTCCAAAATTAAAAGGTTATGCATGTCTAAGGGGTTGGATATATTTTGTAAAACTCTGAATACATTTGTATTTCTGTGCTGTTCATAAATTTACCTTTTTACTTATACTAATTAAAGATATAGAAAGCTATATATTTAAATCATGTAAATGGAACACAATTTAAGGGGGTTTCAAATCTTATTTCTCATCAGCTTCTCATGCACATACTATGCTGCTCAAGTTTCTTTTGTGTGCAATATAAACATTTGAACATTTCAAGTCAGGTACTGAGCCAGAAAAGGTCATTGAAGTTTTCAGAAAACTGCTTAGAAAATATTTTATTTTCTTGAAATACTGTTCTTTTATAGCTAGAAAAACAAGATTGAGAATTGCATGTTTCAGTCCACTTGATAATCATTTCTAAATTTAGGAAGCATTTGATTAATGAATTGGTGAAGGCACTTAGTGGTTGGAAAGTAGTTTCTAAGGAAGTTTAGCTATAGCACATATTTTATCAGAGAAATTGCTTCTCTTTAGTAGTTTTGTAGTTTGTGCTGGTTCATTTCTATCGTCATTTGTTTTTTTAAAGTGTATTCAAGTTATATATCATGTCTAATCATGCTAACTGTAGAGATTCTATTGTACCTTTATTTTAAGCAAAACCTGATAATAAAATTATCCTGTTTCTCTTGCACACTTGCTATTGATCTCCTAGACATATCTGCGTGTTGTCTGTGTGGTTTCTGGCCTTCACAACTGGGCAACAGTGCATTCTTCATTTGTCAAGAAAGCAGCACATAGGTGAACTGAAGGACTCTCCGCCCATATAGCCTCCTCCTGACATTGCTTGTGGTGGACCCTCAGCTTTCTAGCTGTGACCTCTGCAGGAAGAGCCCTATGGCATCTATGGAACTCTGAAGATAGGATGCTAGGCAAGTACTAAGGAGATTGGTCATCTAATCACCTCATGGACAAGGCCAGGGAAGTAGGACACTGCACTAAGGCAGCCCTTTTTCTCCACTTGGAATTGAAAGGTTCAAAATATTACACTGAGGGTTCCAAGCACATTTTCTGTGCACCCTGGTTCTGTTACAACTGTTGTACAAAGGAAGGCCTTTGTGATACATTTCATGGAATAAGCTGATAAATGTCCCTTTTCTGGGGACATGTGAGTGATGGTACAAGACTAAGAGTTCTTTCATATGACTTGTAAGGGTTTTGGAGCTGTTGAGATGACCACTACCATCTCCTTCCTCATCTTGGTGACCTGCTCAGTCTGAGTCCCTGTCCTCACCCAGGTTAACAGCTGCCTAGTCTTCACTCTGACAGGACAGTGGGAGTTACAGTGGAAAAGACATGACCCTAGGAGTCGGGTCTTTATGAAGGAGAATCTAAGGCAGTCCACACAGCGTTGTGGAGGCACACTGACAAAGCTGACCTGCCTCGTTTCTCTGTCACCAAACCATCCAGCACTTACTCATGTCTTCATGATCATGGAATCAGGAGACAGAATACCCTGGGCAAGAAATCAGAAGGTTGTATTCTTTGCTCTTATCCTGTGAACAGCTGCTGTTGGAGCTACTGACATCCTAACATATCATAAAGTAGTATTCAAATGATTGATTTTAGAACAAGGTCTTGCTATGTAGCCCTTGCTGGCATGTTGCTCTCAATGCCACAAATTCAGCAATTCTGCCTCAGCCTCCTGGGTGCTGGGATAACAGGCATGCATCACCATACTGGGCTATAGGGCTCAAAGGTTTTTTGCTTTGTTGTTTATGTATGGGTGTTATGTCTGTGTGTAATGTGAGAGGTATTGCAAGAGTTACAAATTATCTTCATTATGGGGCTACAAAAGGAAATAGAATTTAAAGGGAAACAGATTCACCGCGCAAGGTGGAAGCTGCCGTGTCCTGCCCATCGGCCCCCCATCGGCTGCCCATCGGCCCCGGGGAGATGTGAACAACACAAGCTTGCTTCTGCTCCCACTTCCCAAGAGAGCCAGTATGCTTCTCTCATCTCCTAATCCCAGAGTGTTTGGATTACCATTATTTCTTGTGTTACCATTATTGGTACTACCAGACTTAAACTTGGCCAGTCTGGTGAGTGTTTCTCTGAATGTGGATAAATTTGGGAGGCATTTCATTCATTTCTACTTTTGAAATATTCCTGTTGACAGCCGTGTTGGTGACACACATTTTTTTCTTTTCATTTGAAAATAGATTTGTTTTTACTTATTTTACATACTAATCCCATTTCTTCCTCTCCCCTTCTCCACTTTCCCCCTTTCCACCTCCCCCATCCACTCCTCAGATGGGGCAAGGCCTTCTTTGGGGAGTCAACAAAGTCTGGCATACCAAGTTTAGGCAGGACCAAGACCCTCTCCCTCCTGTATCAAGGTTGAACAAGGTAACCCACCATAGGGAGTGGGCTCTACAAAGCAAGTTCATGCACCCAGGATAGGTCCTGATCCCACTGCCAGGTCCCCCCCCCCAACAGATTAAGCCACATAATTGTCACCCACATTCAAAGGGCCTAGTTCAGTCCCATTCAGGTTCCCTAGCTATCAGTCCATAGTCTGTGAGCTCCCACTAGCTCGGGTCAGCTGTCTCTGTGATTTTCCCCATCATGATCTTGACCCCACCCCCCTGTTCATATGATCCCTCCTCCCTCTCTTCAGCTGAACTCCAGGAGCTCAGCTTAGTACTTGGCTGTGGTCACTGCATCTGCTTCCATCAGTTACTGGATGTAGGTTCTATGATGACAATTAGGGCAGTCACTAATATGATTAAAAGGGAAGGCCCATTCAGGCACCCTCTCCACTATTGCTAGGAATTTTAGGTGAGGGTCATCCTTGTGGATTCCTGGGAGTTTCTCTAGCACCAGGTTTCTCCCTAACCCTATAATGGCTCCCTCTATCAAGATATCTCTTTCATTGCTCTCCCCCTCTGTTCCTCCTTCACCTCTGCCTTCTTGGTCCCTCATGTTCCCATCCGCCACCCCTCCCTTCTACCCCACTTCCCAGTTTGCCCAGAAGATCTTAACTATTTTCCCATCCTGGGGCCCTCCATGTTTTTCCCTCTTAAGGTCCCCCTTTTTACCTAGCTTCTCTGGGTTTGTGGATTGGTGACACACACCTTTAATCCCAGCACTCAGGAGGCAGAGGCATGCAGATCTCTTGAGTTCAAGGCCAGCCTGACCTACAGAGTGAGTTATAGGACAGTCAAGGCTACAGAGAGAAACCCTGTGTCAAAAATTAGCAAAGAAAAATTCCCATTGCCTTATGTTCTCTCATACACCACACACACACACACACACACACACACACACACACACACACACCACACACACACACACACACACACACACACACACACACACACACACACACACGGAGAGAGGGGGAGAGAGAGAGAGAGAGAGAGAGAGAGAGAGAGAGAGAGAGAGAGAGAGAGGTTCTGTCTTACTATGTGTATATAAAAACAAGGGAGAGGGGGGGAAAGAGAGAGAGAGAGAGAGAGAGAGAGAGAGAGAGAGAGAGAGAGATGTTCTGTCTTATGCTGTGTTGATAAAAACAAACTACCCAATATGGTAATTTATGAAGAATAAGAAGTTATTTCTCATCACCCTAGAGGACAAGAATCCAAGATTCTTGTCCATTCTCTTCACTGGGTCCATTGTCTTCAGAGCCTCTTCTTCCAAGATGACTTCTGTCTTAGTTAGGGTTTCTATTGCTGGTCTTGAACTCTCCTAGCCTCTGCCATCTGGCTGTTGGTATTCAAGGTATGCACCACCACACCTGGCCCTGTGCTTTTCTTCGATTCCTTTTCACAAGTTGGAAGCCTAGCTGGATTGGGGTCTTGCTCTGAAGCCACCACTTCCTTTATCCCACTAAACAGGCTTTTCTTTAATCTTCCTCATGTTCCTTTTCTCTTCCAACTGTACCTTTTGTATTTTTACTTGGTCAGCTTGCTCCTTTTCATTACAGATTTGCACTAATAGCCACACAGCGCAGTCAATGCTAGGTTGTTTGGAACTATCCTCTGCCAAAACTGTTAATCCGTGACTCTTCAGTTTATCCTCAGACAGATGTTTTAAGATAAGGGCAGAAAACAGCCATATTCTTCACCAAAATACCACAAGAACTATCTGTAGGCCACATATTAATACTCTTCTGTTCTCAAACTTCTTGATCTGGGCCCCCACAGTAGAAATCACCTTCAGTGCCACTGTCTTCTATCCTCTACTAGCATAGGCCATTAAGCCGAGACTTACAGCATTCAACTGCTTTTCTAATTCAAAATCCCAATGTGGTCCATATCCCGCCAAACAAAAGCATGATGTAACCTATCACAGGAATACCCCAGTGCCAGCTCCTGGCGTAGTTAGGGTTTCTACTGCTATGAAGAGACACTAGGACCATGCCAAGTCTTACAAAGCAAAACATTTGACTGGGGCTAGCTTACAGTTCAGAGGTTTAATCCATTGTCATCATGGTAGGAAGCATGGTGGCATGCAGGCCGATGTGATGCTGAAGAAGTAACGGAAAGTTCTTTGTCTGGATTGGCTGGCAGCAGGAAGAGAGAATAGCACTGGGCCTGCTTTGAGCATCTGAAGCCTCAAAGCCCACCCCCAGTGACACACATCCTCCAACAAGGCCACACCTCCAATAATGCAACTCCCTGAGTCTGTGGGGTCCATTTTCATTCAAACAACACAGCATCTTACTACACCATCCTGTAAAGCAGTGGTTCTCAACCTTCCTAATGCTGTCGGCCTTTAACACAGTTCCTCATGTTGTGGTGACCTCCAACCATAAAATTATTTTTGTTGCTACTTCATAACAATAATTTTGCTACTGTTATGAATTGTGATGTTATAAATCTGGTATGCATGATATCTGATATGTGTGTGGCCCCTGTGAAAGGGTCATTAACCCCCCAAAAGGGTCGAACCCACAGGTTACAAATCACTGCTCTAGAGGAGTGGTGTCCTCACAATAATGAGGAACACAGAAGGGATTTTAAATTATTATTTTTTAAAAAAATTTAAAGACTTAAGCTCCCTCCACCACACTTTTTGTAAGAGCACCTAGCTCCATTCATGAGGACTGTGCCTAACGACCAAACGCTTAATACTATTTCATTGGGGATGAACTTTCAACGTAGATTTTTAAGGGGACAAAGTCTTTGAAACTGGGACACATATGGGTGTTTGCATTCTGCATATAATTTCTTTGTCATTTTATGTTTTCCTGTGATTCATTCTTTATGATGCCTTGGTGACTAGATCGTGTGTGTGTGTGTGTGTGTGTGTGTGTGTGTGTGTGTGTGTGTGCCTTGGCACATGTGTGTGTGTGTGTGTGTCTGTGTGTGTGTGTGTGTGTGTGTGGGCTTGCTTGTGTGGGGTTGTGTGGTGTTGTGGGGGGGGTGGGGTTTTTGTGTGTGTGTGTGTGTGTGTGTGTGTTGAGGCTGGGTGTTCAGAGTGCCTTGGCACAGAGAAGCCAGAAGAGGGAATCCAGTGCTGGTGTTGTAGATGGTTGTGAGCCACATGAAGTGGATGCTGAGAATTGAACTCTGGTCCTCTGCAAGAGGAATATGTACACATAACCACTGAGCTTCTCTCCAGTTCATGAATAGAATTCTTAATCTAGTCAGATTTACCTACTTACATTTAGAGATTTTGTATTCTATTTA